GTGTGTGTGCGTGAGAGGGAGAGAGAAAGAGGGAGAAAGGAGAGAGGGGGCAAACAGAGTGGCTATTATTTAACAGAGGGACTCACACACAGCGTAGAAGGGGAAGGGCGCAGGACTGGAGATGATATCATATTCTAGTTTACTCAGTTTGGTGGCACTGCATGGCCCCCACCTGCTGCTGTTGGTAGTAACTGTCCAGTTGCCCTGGCATTGGTCAGCATCTCAGTTCAGAGCTGGCCACATGTGTTAACTGGGTCATTATAGCTCTACATGTGGTATTGAGGAACAGTTAATGAGGATTTGGGTTGAAATGAAACAGTTTTGTGCAGAAGACATATGTATTTGTTCAGGTGTACACAAAAGTAATCAGGACAGGAACAAAAACAATAAAACACTTTATTCCACCATCACTCCTATATAAACAATGACAGCAGGGTCAAAGTTATCTTGTTTGGTGCAAAAACAAGTCAGCTCCTTGTGTCAAGGCTGAGGTCAGTGGCATTCGTCCCTTTGGTCAGGGGGAGCAGCAAACTCACACAAATGTATGCAGGTGCTCTCTTAAACTATATGATTGACTGTATACAGTTCATTTTTAGTCAACAGTATTGATAGTTACTTACTGCTTGAGAGAAAGACCAGGATTGACTATGTGGCTGATTATACCTGCAAGAACAGAGTGGAGACAATGTAAGTCAACTCTTCAACAGTTTGAAACAACTCACTTGACTGTACTTTACAGTAATGTTGCCCTGTACAAGAAGCTAAAGCTAACCATAGTACTTTAGATCAGACAAAAGTGTCTCTTGAAAATTTCCAACACATTGCTTCCCAGCTCATTTGTAACCTCTCATTAACTTTATCTATGTATCAATCCAGCTCACTTTGATTTGGCCGGAACAAAACAGATCCCATGGAGGCTGTTTAAGGGCTGGCATTTAGCTGGTGTGCCACTGGATCTGATAATACATTTGGAAACCAGCCACAGCTGCCTGGGCAGACAAGAAGCTTGTTCCCATTGCTCAAAATACTCGATTTACCTCAGCCAGGCCTCACCCTGCAATTTCAGGGTATGAAATTCTCTCCAGCTGGTTTTTCTGGCCTTTCGGTCACCAGCATTTTTTTGTTCATCTATCATCCATACATTTTCCAGTCTTTGTCTCTTTTGGACATCACATATTTGCTACTTGAAATACTGCAGATTTTTTGCAGGTGTTACAGCATCGGATACGTCTGTAGATTTGTTCCAACTACCACCCCCACACAGCATGGCTGCCGCTTTTTTTGCACATTTCAGAAATGATATGGAAGTGAAACTGATGCACCATTGCATTTTATACTGTGTCATAAAGAAAAACTAGTTTATTCATTAAGGACTGACAAACCAAAATTAATATGACACTTGATTAAATTCACCATCAATGAAAATCCATGGCCTGCAAACCAGATGGGAGACATTTGTGTGTAGCTCTTAGAATAGAACAGCTAGGAAGGTCAGGGGGTATGGTGCAAAGTGTTTAGTCAGTGATGACTGTGTTCATGTGGGAACCAGGCAGAGGAGATACAGGGGCCATAATAGAAGAGCTGGAGAAATAGCAGTCCTTGGATGTCGTCATATTTTGCAGTGGGATGGAGCTATTTATGGTTAGAAGAAGCAGGATTTCTCATATCAGTGACATTTCTAAAGCTTTTCTGGCATTGCAAAGGTGCCAGGGGGTGGATGGGGAAGGACAGACACACTGGTGGGTGGAACATGCTAAAATAACTTGCATATTGACGGTGCTAAAAGACAATGTCTCAAAAAAAAAACACTGAAATGATTTGCCCATTTAATAATAAGTTATAAATTGATTTAGCATTCAAAGGAAAGAAAAGGTTGGTATTGATCCAATAAAATTACCACAATCGATCTTCATGGGTTTTGTTTTAATATGTGAAGCCTTGCTCCTAAGATAAAATGCAAATAGCAGGTCAATCCAGGTCATGGTGATAAAACAGGCACTTGGACTTGCTTGAGGTTATTTTGGAGCAGTGTGCACAGACAGACTGCTCTGCTCTGTCACCACTTTGGTCAAGAATGATTGTTTCCTTATTATTTATTGTCAGGCTGAAGAAACACTTGGATGGTAACTCTACTGTTTCTACCCCACAGTTGTCACCCTCTGTTTGTGCGTCTCTGTATGAATTTCAGCCTGATTCTCCCCAGTTATAGAAGCAGCCCACCCACTGACCAAACACACTGTAGCTTGGGTCAACAAAGAGTCCACGTCCCACTGACTGTCATTCCCTCTTAGTAAAGTAGATCCACCCTGCTCTATACCTGCAAATCTATACCCTGCTCTACCTATAGAATATATAACATTGTGTGTGTGTGGGTGAGAGAGCAAGAAGAACTCACCGGTTAAGGAAGTCACTGCTAGAGTGCCAGTCAGACCCCTGTGATACATAAAGATTTATGTGTTAACACATGATGGAGATGCAGTCAGCTACTCTTTTATAGTTGCTCTTAAGGCCTCAGTTTGGTTGTGATGCTGTCAACACTGGTCACTCATTTGATCCCTCTAAATGACTTGAGCTTTAAAAGTGCAGCATCTTCTCATGAAAGAAACTAAATTAGCATGTGGTTTGTGATGTCAGTTACAAACAATTCAGGCTAATGCTGCCTTGTGGCGTAATGAATTACTACCCCCCAAAAATAGAAAAAAAAACTAATGGAAAACAAAACATTCATCATTTCCATGTATCTCGGTCAATCCATTTGTGATCAGTAAACAAGAAAACTGGATAAATAAACAAATCAGCAAGTCATTCCACATGCACAGTCCTATAATTCAGCAAACAGTTCCCGTGCAATCATTCGTGATGTGCAAGCATAACATGGTGGTGGTTAGCAAACTTAGCAGTGGGGTAAACAACATGCAGATAGTATTTAGGCAGACCACAGGTTGGCAGAAAGTGGAAATTAGTGAGGGCCACAGGCAACTATAGCCTTGCAAGCTTGGGCAGAGCAAGACGGGAAGAAGTGCAGGAGAGATTAGAAAAGAGGCCATCTCGATGAGCAAAGTCACACATGCGACAAGAAAAGAGGTGTTAGTGGTGGGTCTTTTGGACACCAGTCAGTTCCATGAGAAAAGGTACTGACCCTTCCAGGCAAACATTTCAAATCAGTGAACATGGTCATGGCTGTTAGGTGACATAGTCCTAATCTAACGTTTGAATGTTTAAAAGGCAACACATGTGCAAGAATAAGATCCCCTGCTCTGACCATATGGGTCTTGCAGCTGGAATTTAAAGGTCATCAAAGTGAGAAGTAGGTATAACCATCACCACCTGAGACACAGAGAAAAGGTAACCTGACTCCAGCTATCCTGTTTCATCACATTTGAGAAAAAAAAACAGAAGCAGGGTTCACCTCAAAGGTCAAAACAGGTTAGAAATCATCAACAGCTCAACAGCCTGTGCATGCATTCAGCCAGAGAGTGGAATACTAACAATTAAAGCTGCCCTTCACTGACAGAATGTTAGAACATATTTTGTGTGTGTAAAGTGAAACTAAAATAACATTTATTATCAATGTAGTTTTCAGAAAAAATCTTGATCCCATTTATTACATTATAAGCACACTTTGAACAGTAACTCCAAATCATTGGTAAAATAAAGACAATACAAAAGATCACTGTAATAACTGCAGTTTTTAATAAAATGCTCTGCAAATCTTACAAAAGGCAAATAAAGCAACAACAGACACTTATTCCCTGCATTGTCTTAAATAATACTGTCATCCTGTCTCTTGTGGCACATGGTCTTTCCATAGCATGAACTAATAGAAGTCTGTTTGACCTGTGTCTTAAAAGATTGGTTCAAACTAATGGACCCTTTATTACTGTCCACCAGATGTGTATAACGGACTCTTTAGGGGGTAATTTTAGAGTAAACTGAAGCACAAGATATAAAGGTTTACTGAAAAGAGTGCATAGCTTTAAAACCAGCACAAATATTTGCTAGTGACAAGATATATACATCCTTTCACCAACCAATGCAGCACTGTCAACTAAAGTGACTTTGTACGTATATGCATAGCTTACAAGAGGCAACCACTGGCAGAGGGTAACGTAACAAAAGGATCACAAAAGAAAAATGCAACATAAATAAAAGCAGTTTTGCTAACAGAACAAGCAGTTTCTTTTACTTAGTTTTATCTGTATAACTTATGCAAAAAAGTCAAAGTATGGCAACAGACAGGTTTCCAAGCAACATCATTGAGATGTGCGTGCATCACGAGGGTAGATAACAACTGAGGCTATATGGAAAGTTACATGACTAAGGCTAACTGTCCTCAAATTGCTTGAAGGATGTCAACATCCCAAAACAAAACATACCTTTCAACAGAGAATAAGAGCATTGCGGCTTAAGTAATAACTGCAGTGCTCATTTAATTTCTGTTGAGTGTTTATACCTAATGTTTGCTAATTATTCCTCAAAGCCTTACTGAAAACAAACAGCTCAGTAAAACTAAAGGAAAACGCGGTATATAATCTCATTAGCCTTGCATGTTCGAAACAAACCAGAGCAGATGGACCTAAGATTTACAGCATAACCCTGCTAAATAATCTTGGGCTTCCTTCTGACTACCAACACTGTCAAACTTGGCTGGTGTTTGACCTGGACTCACTGGGAGCTGTGGTCCTGAGCCCTGTGTGCTGTCTGCAAAGTTAGGTGCTGCTAGATGGTCAACTGTTTAAAAAGTAATATTTTTTTCAAAATTTTTAACTGTTCATGTAAACCGAGTCAGAAACAGACAAATTGCATCAAGTATTGACTAAATATACATTGCATATGTATTTTATTTATCAAAACACTCTGATCTCAAACATGTTATAAGACGGGTTACAGCTCTACTAACTTCACAGGATAAGGATATTTATGAGTTATTTGGCCAAGTATGTTACACAAAAGGAATTTGTTTCCAGTACAGAACCGAGGTAGCCATCTGCAGTGCCAACTCACACCAATGGCTCTAACCATCGGGGGCAACTTGGGGGTTCAGTGTCTTGCCCAAGGACACTTCGACACGTGGCACCGAGATTTGAACCTCCGGCCCTCCGATTCAGAGACGACTGCTCTACCCACTGAACCACAGTTGCCCCCAGTTCAGGTGATTGTTAGCTAACAATGCTAAAAAAGCTATAGAACTGAGGGTAACTGCAGCCTGGTAGCTAACGCCTTATGCTCAAAACTGTGAATAAATTAATCATGTTGTTACATTACAACTGTATTATCTAAATATATATCGACTAAGTGTTGTAAAAGTGGGAAAGAGATATTAATAAATTTGCTGTGTGTTTTATGTAGACTGTTCGCAGTGTTGCAACTGACGTAACAGCACTTCAGTGAAAGACCATACATGGTCTGTTACTAAAGGAAAATAATCACTGGCTTTGTTCAACCAATTAAATCTCCAATCTATACCCTGCCAATGCACGTGCATCCTCAAATGTTTGTCAACAGGAAACCCATCTATAGCTGAAGTGATATCAGGCAAGTTTTTTGAAGTATTAAACAATGGTACAGATAGGTTTTCAACTGAAACATTACATAACTTTATATGTACAGAAAAGTCCATAGACAGCTTACACAGGGCCAAAGTGTCCTAAACCTGAACAAACTGTATCCTTCTGAGGCAGAGATGGGACTTGTAGTCAAAGACATGGAGGGTTGTGGGCAGTGTTAAAGGGCGATGACATAATGTAGTGAGTAATACAAAAGCAAGTTTGGTTGAGGAGTAGTAGTTGCTAGTAGCAGGAACACCAAGGAAACATGGAGACTGGGGAGAAAGGAGTGTGAGAAAACCCAAAGCTGCCAAAACAACAGCCGGACATTAAAAATGAAAGGCACTGAGGAAGGACACAAGACAGGAACAGGAAGCCCCGGGCAGAAAGCGCATCATCAGTGAGTCAATAGCTTAAGCCGCGTGATCCAACTGACCAGTAGGGAGCGTTCAGCTGTTGTGCGCTTGGAGACGGGGCCTATGGGGATCTTTCTCATGTCCTCCTGGTAGGGGATGGTGGCGCTGTTGTGGAGGTCTGAGTTGGAGTAGTAGCGGCTACCCCGGATGTGGTCCACTCGGACGAGGTGACGTTCCCCTGCAGGCCTGTAGGGTGGGGTCGCAGAGGGGACCTCTTCTGCTATAGTGGGGATCCTCTCATTGCTCAGGTATCTGTACAGGAGGTCTTCACCTGAAGCAGAGAAGACAACAAGTTTCTAAACAGAGCTGACAAAAGTCCAGGTGTTCAATAGTCCAGCATAATTAGCTACTAAGAATCCCATGTGAAGCTTTCATCCATTCGTTCTTTGGAAACAGTGAAAATTGGGTAAGACATAAGCATCCTCAATCATGGACCCGAGGCTTAAAGGGGTATTGTGTTAATTCTGTCAGACCTGTTGTAGTAGTAACCACTTGCAGCAACACAAAGTTCACGACGTACATTATTAAGATCTCTTAACAACTACAACACACAGCTACTGACAAAAACAATGTGGAATGTGATGAGCACTTCAGCTATTCCTTGTACTTTACCATATTCAAACCATGATGCTTCAGCAGATATTATCCACGCATGTAGATATGAATGAATCCCTTGATACAGCTAAACTTGAATTTTCTAACCTTTACTTGCTGTTACTAGAGGACTTCTAGTCATATTGCTTTGCCCACTACACTTTTCTGTCTTAAGAGAAACGTCATGGCAACACAGATGTACTGAAATGTCACTTATAGCGATTAGTTGCAATGTACCTTGCTATGCTTTACTATATTGTAGAGCTGTCACTTAGAAACTGAATAAGCCATGAATATGAAAAGCCTCCTTGTCAAATCACACAGCAGGATGTAACGATCCAACTGTGGTAAACTCAAGTATAACTTGGATTTGAAACCAACCTTTCCTTCCGGGTGCCCAGGCCTTTGTGTAGGGATCTACCACTCCAACACAGGTATCCACTGGCATGGACAGCGGCCGTGGCTTACCTAGAAGAAACACTTCATTATGAATCATATTATTTTAACATATTTATTCAATATTTATAGAATTTCCTGAGAAAACACTAACCCCGTGAAAGCTTGTGCTCCCTCATTCTGGGCTGTATCACGTTGGCTTCGATGGGACAGCCAACGCTCAGTTTGTCATAATCTGCGATCGTGCTGCGTCTTCTGCTCTCCTGATCCAGAAAGGAGTTGGGTGACTCAGAGCCCTTTGGTCTTTTACTAATGCTGGAGACAGAGTCTGTTTTCAGCTCTCTGAAGAGAGAAACAAATTCTCATTTGTTTATCACAGCACAACATGCCAATCCACGGGGTAAAATATGGAGCAGAATACCATGATTCAAAACCAAATAATGTTATTTTACCTTCCTCTGTGCAATTTCAATAATAAACAATAACAAGGATACAGACATCCTCTTAAAATTCAGTCTTTCTTCATTTCTTCCACCTTCTATTATCTTTCTGGAGCTAGAAGACTAAGCAGCTGTTGCATAAGGACTTTGGTGTGACTGGTGGGAGCAGAGTGGAATGGAAAGAAGTAAGATGATCATGGACCCCGGACACACTTGTTATCCACCAGCCGGGAAGGCCAGGGTGTGGAAATGCGGCAAAGGCTGACCGAGGGGACATCTAGATCACTCAGCGCACAGTGGTAACTGGCCTCCCTCATATTAACTACTAGTTCTTTAAACTGGTTCATGACTTCTGCTTAAAGAACCTAACTTGGTGAAGAAAATTCTACCTAAAAGAATAAAAACCCTGGCAAATGAAATGGGACAGCTCACCGTGGGGTGTATGGCATTGGAGGAGGAGGGGGGATGTACAAGTCCAGGATAGCTGGCTTCTCCTTTTTGGTTGATCCATTTGCTGAACCACAGGGGGACTGGGTTCTGATCAAGGAGGAATTGTTCTGAAAAATACAGCACAGTCAGTACTGGTAAATTCACACACATTAATTAAACAGTGAGAGTGTTTTTTTCCTGCAATCTGATAGGCTTCTCAGTTACCATAATTCCCAATCTGAAGTAAAACCTACGAATTTATGTCAAAATAAACGAAGTCCTGGCTCGTTGTTTCTGTCTACGCTTATTTTTTATTTATTTATTTAAATTAAGACTAAATATGAATTGCTAACAGCTAAGGGGAGTTCACCAGCTGTGGTGAGACAGTTACATAATCACTTGTGTGTATAAACCTTCTTGTTTGAGGTATGGAAAGACTGTAGGTGAAGTCCAAAATAGCCCGTGAGACGTGTACTTAAAACTGTTCATTCCCCACAGTTATGTTCCCCAGCTCTCAACAACACTGTGCCCTTGACAGAATGTACAGCTCTGATTCAATGCTGCTCTCATCGGCCCCAGATGATATGTCTGATGATGCAGCTTAGTAGATGTGATCAACTAAACACCCAATCTGGGATCTTCTTTCCTTCTCCAAACAGCTAAATGTGTACAAATTATATAATATTACAAAGCCAGTGCCATTCATTCCAGAACCTGCATGTGTGATTTGTCTCTGTTTTGCCTCCTGGAGCCTTATTATTACAGATAAACTGAGATGACTAACTGTGATACCTCCTGACTAATTGTTAAGACAAGATGCTGGTGGACATGTTGACAGTGGCCCTCATTGTGTTGAGAGGCTCTTTGTTGTTTTGACAAACCCACTCCTATCTGATAACGTCTCATCTTGCCTTCTCAGGCTGTAAAACAGGCTACGCATGATAAGCCAATTCCAGAACTTGAATTTTGGTAGTCTAGGTTTACAACAGGCTTACTGTCTCCCTGTCTGTTAAAGGGCTCAGGTGCACAGATGTGGTAAAAAGCTAAATCAAGCCTAATGTATTCACACTAGGGAGAGGAGCACATTGAATTACAGTCGCATAACCCTATTAGCACAATATTTACCTGACATATGGGGTATGGTTTCTCTTAAAAGATAGAGCGTAAATTTAAGTAACTTATTCTTTTGTCTTCTTTAGATGGCAACAGCTGGGCCATTTGTTTCTAATAAACCAGATACAATCTAACTAGACTCCAACACTACCAGCTGAAAGCTTTATCTCCTAGACTGAATGACATCATGAGACTTTACCTATGATTTTATGCATGAAGAAAAACTCCATGTCGTATTAAATTCAGCCGGCAGCACGCTCATGATGGCTCTGACACTTGTCTGAACTTGCTGTTTTGGAACCAACTCCCTCAAATACTGATAATTAGCTGACAATGACACAGGCTTTTGTTGACTTCCAAGAATGAGGGGAAGAAGTGTGTATGTACCTGAGGTACTGGGGGCTTCCAGCGCATGTTCTTGAGAGGGGCGGGGGTGAAACCTGTTGTGCCTGTGGGCCTCTTCTTGAGGAGTAGAACCACACCTTTGGGGTCCTCCCTCAGTTTGATGACCAGGTTTTTCAGCTGCCATCCCATCTGATTAACACAGACAAATACACACAGACTCAATTCCATTAATATTTATAGTATGTGATCAAGTTACGACTAAGTAAGTAAGGAAAACAAAATAAGATTCTCACCACTGTCTGCTGGTTCACCTGAATCACCTCATCACCAGCATGGATCTTTCTGGTCAGGTCTGCAGGCGACTAAAGAACAAACAAAGTAAAGGTCAAAGCCTGATAAACACTGACACACAACTTACTATTCATAAAACCCTGTTGAAGTCAGTAGCTACATCAGCGCTACCTCTGCCTGATTAAAGCTATTCCTTTGAATCCCATTCATCAAGCAAATATCGGCTCAAATCACCAGAAAACACCCTCTGTGTACGTGACTATCATCTGAATTGTTTTTCATGTCACACAGATATCAAACAGGATTAACTATTCATTATTAGTGATGATTCAGATTCTGATTCATAAAAGGACTGGAGGCGTGAGGATCCAACAGTGGCAGTGATGCTGTTGTATTAGTCACTGACTGGGTGTCAGTGCGTGGAAAAGGTAGGGCTTCATTTGTGGAGGATGTTTGCGATATTTACTGGTTACTGGAGTACAAAAACAAACAATTCCCACAATGAATGAGCAAGTCTTAAATTCTTCAGTTACTGTAACTCAGTGTGCCTTCAGTATAGGAGGAGGAGAACAAAGAGGAAGATGAAGAGGATGAGAGAGATGTTCTTTTTCAACCAAGATCATATGCTTGTTCTTAGCAGTAAGGTGCAAAAGAAAAGTAAGTTGGCCATTTGAAATGAGAAGAAAAATGCAATTGCTTCATTCTGTGGTACAATCAAACTGTGAATTTGAAATACTTAAATTAACTCAAGCATGGAAAGAGGCTCAATGTATTGCTGTAGTTAGCATCTTGTTCTTCTTACATGTTCGGTGGTCCCCGTGATGACGTGTAACCCATCGTATGTAGACTTGATGTACATCCCCTTAAAAGAAAAAAAAGAGAGACACAAGACAACCTTACTTGTGGCATATAATAATCCCAGAGGGAGACGATGTGGAGGCCACAATTTGACCCACATTGCAGACTTTCTTAGCCTGCAAACACAAAAAGCAGACCGTAGGTCTGGGGCTAAAAATAAAATAATCTCCCAGCATTCCTTACCAGACCCTCGCCTGGTTTGATATTAGTCAGCTGGACTTCCTCCAAGCAGGCTGAATGGCTCATCAGGGGGTCAGAGGTGGTTCTCACGGTCTGATCACAGATGCTGTTCAGAATTTTAGACTGGTGGAGGAGAAGTAAAACATGTATCAGTGAAGAAAACACAGCACTAATAAACTTCTAAAAACATGATCTTAAGTGTTGTGAATCCACTAATGACATATTGGCCCATAATGACCAGTCGAGCTATTGTGTGCTGTACATGTTAGAACAAGTCGAGTTAAAATGCTACTCATAACACTCACGACACAAAACCTTATCCTTCATCAGTTAGTTGTCCTACTCCTTGTATGCATGCCTGTGTGTGTGTGTGTATGCAAGGCTTAATGGGCTAAAAGGAGCCATTTTAACCACATGTCCCTGTCCTCGCACAACACTGAAACCAGTCCAGTGCACACTGTCCTTCCTTCTGCTTCACCCCTTGCTTGTTTAATGACAAAAACTGAGATTTGTTATCAACAGAGGGGTCTTTCCAATGGCACATTTTGTTTTGAACACATGGTGTAAACTTTACTTTGGAAGAACTCAGAAATTGGAGGAAAATAAGCACAGGTGGACAAAAGGCTGGGAAGACAAGATGAGAAACACAAATCTTACAAAGAAAGACTCAGTTCTACTTTCTTTGTCTAAAAGACACTTGTGTTAGCCCAAGTAGTCTGGAGAGTGTCAGCAACAGGAAACACTGATTGATGGCTGGGGGTGTATTAGAGCTGCCTCCTCTACTGGCAATCCTAAAGATCTGTCTGCACTATCCACTCGGAAATCTGACCTTGCAGCTGAGAGCAGGTCACACAGTCTCTACACAGCCATTTACCAAAACGATCAAACAGACCTTTCCGCTCTATACAGCAGAGTCTAGGTCTCCTTTATTTTACATTATGGGAAACAAAGAGTATAGGTATAATATACTTACAACTTCCAGGATCCTCTCTTCCATCTCATAAACACTGCAGTCCTGTTGCACAGAAGACAATGACGACATGAGGATCATGATCAGTGAACAACACAGAAGAGGAAACGGTTACTCAAGGGCTAGTGAGAGAAAAAGTATAGGGGCTGGATAAATATGATATAATCAGCATTCCAGTTATAGAACTGAGACAAATGGAGGAGAGCTGCAAATAAACAGCTTTTGGACCTTTTTGCCTAAATTCTGGGGACACTATAGTTGTATTGTGGTTCAGAAAACCTCATATGGTATGTACATACCATATGAGGACTCATATGTACAGATGACACAATGGGGCAAAACTTGTTATTTATATTCAGAAAGCCCTCATCCAAATAGTGGTTTCCTGGGAACATATGAATGCATCACTGCTTTGTACAGTAAGTGGGCTAGAGGCAGGGGTCTCCTAATGTCAAATAAGACAGTAGCTGTGACCGTGGTTGTTCAGTGGAAAGAACATTGATAAAATCTGCATAGTTTGCTGGCAGAGTGACCACAATCCCTAACACAGCATTCACAGGCAGCAGCTGGACTGGACACAGCTGAGACAACAGCCTCCCTTGACAACTGTGTTGTTGGTGGTGGTGGTGAACAGGCCCCTGGTTAGGAAAGGCAGGTTCACAGTGCATGTGGGGGGGCCCTGCTTGTTTATGGACTTCCATGTTGGGAATGTCCAAAGGGAAACCATCCATCAAAACACAGGTGAAATGGTTTTGTCAAAATCAGAGGGCACAAAAAAGTCTCTTATTTCTTAAGAACCCTCAAAAGCCAATGCAAAGTGGGTGTTGTGGCCCTCACAGTGTTAGCGACATGCATGGGCATGTGCTACATACAAAGCCACCTCTGTCGCTCTTTATAAATCCATTGTGCAGACAGTGAATGGGGGTCGAGCAAGTTTTCCCATATTTCCATAGCTTGCACATTCAACTGGGCTAAAGGTGAACATCTGTTTTCAAATGCACTTTGCAGTTGGTTTGTTTGCAATAATACGATCTGTGCGACTGTCTGTGGCTGTGAGTGACGGCTTCACATCAAGATGGTGTATATCTTATGCTTTTTAAATATTATTTTCAATCTGTGTTTGAGTGCCTGATTAAAGGACTAAACCCTTTTGGTCAAATAACATACATATGACTCTGCCACATTTCCATTGCTTGCCAGTAAAAATATAAAGAAGGAAAAAAGAAACAATCTGTTTCATTTGATATGTAGGGGTCCCAAAATCATGTTTCCATACAATATATTTTCTAAAGTCAGCTGAGAACATACAGTGGTTTCAGAAAGAATTTGGCTACGCTTGTGAAAACATGCAACTGCATATTTCTTTTAGCAACTGGTGGCCCATGTTTGCATGACTACACTGTTAACTGAGCCAGAAGGGATGAGCTAAAAATACATATTCTGATCTTTTAGAGGTCATGAAACAAAACAGTATTACTATGTGCTGCAGAAATGACTTGGCACATCTCCTGTCAAGCTTTTACACTGACAGAACAGCTCTCGTTTCATAGTACCATCAAATCACATGAAAACATTTTCATAGATAATCCTTCAAAGATCTGTTCATGGCATCCAAAATAACCTAATATCTTTATCAAAACCAAAATACTGTTAGGAGACTTAAGCCAGATCATTGCTAAGTGCTGAGAGAGGTTCAGAGACAATTCCCTGGGTGTACTGATTTTGGATGTTGCAGACTTGATCCCACAGCCGATGTGGATCAGATCTCTGTGTGCTGCTCTATTGGCCTTTGATCTGCCACTAGAAAGAATCTGTGACCTATTAGAGAGGGGCGCTGGCACAGTACAGGGAGCTGGAGTATACAGGTGCCTTTACATTAGTGTAAAAAAAATAATAACGTAATGCAATACTTTCAACCTGGCCACCTGACATCCTGTTATTTTTATAGGTATACACTATCAATATATGATGCATATATTTGTTAAAGGTCTTTTTTTTCTATTAAAATAGAGAGAAATCAACTTCACATCTAATTCAACAACTCAAAAGTGGGAAGCAGACACAAAAGACCCAGGGGAATCAATGAAAAATACATTCTTTCAAAGAGAATGACCTCCACACCGACGGGTACAGCTGAAGCAAGTGATGTGTTCACAGTTTTATCGCCATGCCCCATTGTGTGCATACACACAGGCTTCATTCAGGCAGAACACATAAAGCGTGTGATCTGAAAAGCCCTAATTCTTGGATGGAGTTCACAAACGAGCCGGGCAAACCTCATGCCGTCCTACCCCATCATAAAACTAATCATGTGGCAGTCTTGTGCGCACCTTCTTTTATTAACCAGTGGCTCAGACTCTGGGCCACATGTTGGAAAAGACAAAGGGCGTCCCAGATGGTCCAAACAAATGAGAAAGAGAGTGAATATACCAACTTTCTGTTGATACTTAATGTTGTAATATATTGGAAATAAGTGATCTACCCTGTACTTGCTGGAGGAAACTAATTGCTTGCCACTAATTACAAGACTCTTTCAGCACCTATTAGGAGATTATTCTACATGGCAGTGTGCGAAACGTATACCCCACACTTTTTGTAGATGACCTTGACCGGGACACCCGCAGTAAATCACCAGAGGCACTAAAATCCCAGACTCTGGTGAGGACATAGGCACTCTGGGAAAGGAATTTATTTTGATGCAATAATGACACCTGCAGTCTCTGCAACCACTTTCACTGGCAGCGTAAAATGAGCCACTTATCAGGGTAAGCTAAAGTCAAATGCTTTGGAGAGAGGAAATCGTAATGGGGTTGATTCTGCGGGGAAAAACACTAACCAGCACCCATATGCAGAAAGTTGTGAAATGTTTCCCGATGCACTGTTTTATCATTTAGGCTAATTATTCTGCAGTTAGGTGGACTGCCTCCTACACCTACACATAGGAAGCGAGTTCAGACATTTTGGTCTCCTACAGCAAGCATCTTCAAGAAGCAAAAACGTGAACCACACGACTGAGAGAGTACGGCCGCCTGGGGAATGTTGGCAGGCACCTTTAAAAGCACGCCAGTGGATTTTATGAGACTGGAAACACAGGAATAACGTTTACATTAAACATCCCCACACTAAGGGGGTCTTCTCATTAGCTAGCATGAGGAGGAAAAGTCCCCCCCCACCAAGAAGCATCAATAATGTGCTCAGACTGCTGGCTTCAGGCTTATGTCCTGGCTGCCAGACCACATTTGCTATAACCATCTTCTCCTACACTTCATTCTGCATGTCTGCGTCCCTGGGATGGTATGTGCTCAGTGGAAAAAGCTATTGTGTGTGCGTCTTGTGTGCACATTTCCCAGGGCTATAGCTACATGTGTGATGTTGAACTAACTAGCGTGCAGACCTGCTGA